CACAAATGATGCAGAAATGTTGGGATGTGGATCCATCAAAAAGACCAACTAGTAGAGAGCTTTTTGACTTTGCTTATAATAAACATAAGGAAATTCGTAGTAATGATTGTAGCAGCAGCAGCAGCAGCAGCAGCAGCAGCAGTGGTGGTGGTGGTGGTGGTGGTGGTAGTGATTTGCAACAAGTACACAAATCACATCCAGACGCATACCATACAAGTAGAATATTAGATGATGAGATTGCTAGATCAAAATGCTTTAAAAGTTATACAATTAATGATAGTTCATTAGATTTTGGCTTTCTTGGTTAACAAAGGTGAATAAAAATTCCATATTAATTAATTGGAGATTAATATCCATTAATTATTACTAACAGTTTGGAATGATTAATAAACATTAGATGGGTGGCTAATTTAATCTCCATTATAATTCATTTGTTATAATTATTTATCTTTTCATTTAAATTATCATAATGTTTCATATAATAAACTTTACAGTTTTCTGATTCTTGTTAAATGGTTGGTGATATTACAAGGTAATTTTTTGGTTAATGCCAATTATGGCTTTAACTCTTGGGCTACTCTTGTTGGTTAATTGCAAACAATTCAGTGCTTGTTTACATTGGTTCACTTCTTCCTTGTATGCGAATCTGTAAGCACACTTAATGATACCAAATGACTATAAATAAACAAATAAAGACAGCTCTTTACAAAGCTCAAAAGTTCCTTTTATTCACTTGTGACCAATTTATTTTGGTTGTTTACCCTTTTGTTTTTATGAGCAATATTGATGAAGCCGAGTTTTTATCTTTCTTTGAATAATCCTTTTTTGTTGGGCATAAAGTTAATGAGTATAAATACTGTATTGATAACTTCTTTTACCCTTCTCTAATGAATTAGACTATAAATGAAAATGTTATTATGATATAATGTCATATGATCCCGAATAATTAACAGCGATCGAGACCGCAATACAATGATGCTTTATCAATATGATATATTATATATTGTTTCTTTGAGGTCGTGTTTACAGGTCCAAAAGGCCTTGGTTGATAAAGGTAAATTGTAACAAGTAAATTCAGTGATTTAATTTATTATATATGAACTCAATAAATTCGGGATTGATATTTTTTTAATTTTTTTTTACAATATCATTAAAAATAAATGCTAACTTAACAAAATTAAAGGACCAAATTCATCAAATCTCTTATTTAAGGCAATAGCTACATTCCAAAAATGACGGTATATTTTCAATCAGACGATTTACATTTTGTTCATTGAATCAAATGTTGAAGTGATAATTCAAATGAAATTGGAGTTTTGATAGAATTTTTGGCTAATTGATAAAATATTTATCAGAATATAAAAATAATAGCAGAGCACACTTTATCATGATTATACGTTGGCTTTAGTTTTATACTACCATTCATTACCGTATCCTCCGTATTCTCCTTTCGTGAAAAAATTGACTTCTTCCTTTGCAAATTCGATTTTTTACTTTTTCAACAATAGTATAAACGATATATTGATCAATATATAAATATATTATTTGACAATAAAATAAACAATTATTGTATGGATTTAAAGGTGCAATTAAAAAAAATTTTCATGATGTCAAATTCTGATTCACCAATTCCTTCTCAATTGTCATCATATAATATGAATTTATAAACATTAAATTTAGGAAAATTCATTTCAGAATTGGCTCCAAGATGTCCTGTGTCTGATGCATGAAAAAAGTAAAAGGACATTACTCAGCATCTTGCAAATCTCGTCCAAAAACCTGGAATCATAAAACACTTAAATTCAAGGCTCATTTAGCCTTAGATGTCATTATTCTATTGTTCGTTTTTATTTGGATGAAATTAACAATCAACAAAACAATGAAATAAACACAAACAAAATGCCCAAGCTCTTTTATCAAACTTTTATGAAAGCATTGTTCTAATTGACCAAAGAAAAATTCAATTGATTTTGACTTTTGACTTTTGCCCTTTGATTGTCACATTTAGTCAGGTGTACCCTGTTTGACAAAATATTCTCATCACCCAACCTTGATTCAAGTCAAGTCGAGCTCAAGCTAAGCATAAACTTGGTTCAGCTCATTTGGAGCTTTAATCAAATGTGCTTACAGATGGTACCTAGACGTTTCCCCGACAGGATGTTTCCCCGACAAGACGCTTCCCCGACAAATACATTTTGTATTAAAATATTTATTTGCTTCCCTGTCATGCCATAGCCGGCTAAGTTTATCAAACCATTTAAGTCTATTAACCCATTCATTAGGCGACTAAGCTG